TTGAACTGGCCCTTACTGTGAGCTGAAAGGCCCTGGATGATTCCTTGATAATTTGGGGCATAAAACAAAATCTGTGGATGGGAGAATTCATGAAGGCAGAAAATAGTCTTGAAAAGACTAAAAGTCAGAACCAGCAGATGGTATAATGGTTACATTACTAGACTCCTATGTAGTCAACCCCAGTTCGAGTCCCAGGCCTGGTGGCTTAAACTCAGAGCAGGCATATCTGCATAAGATCCTGAGAAGGAAATGTAGAAGGAATTGTGGCATGGTCATACCCTCAGGGGGTGATTTCTTGCTTTCTGTCTCTGTCTCTCCACCAAGCGCACATACCCTATAGCAAAAATCTCTCTCTCAAAAAAAAAGGACTAAAAGTTACCAGATTTACCCCGTATATTAAGGCAAAACTTTATCTGATTGTTTCCAATTATAGCTCACCAACTCTGTTTAGAAGTCACCAATGACTTCCTTCATGGTGTTTCCTATCCTTTGCACTCATCTGATCAACTTTGGAAAATTGAGGTTTCAGAGGCATTGTCAAAATGAAAAAGAAAACATGATTCAAAGAATCTATGTATTGTTTCAGCATTACAGAATGTTCTTTTACAGGCAGGTGCTATAGAAACTGCAAGAGATACCTGTCTCATTGGTTGATAGCTAGAAGTTTTCAGGGACGTGACTCTCCAGGAATTTAAAATTGGCCCTGGATGATTCCTTGATAATTTGGGGCATAAAACAAAATATGTGGATGGGAGAATTCATGAAGGCAGAAAATAGTCTTGAAAAGACTAAAAAGTCAGAACCAGCAGATGGTATAATGGTTACATTACTAGACTCCTATGTAGTCAACCCCAGTTCGAGTCCCAGGCCTGGTGGCTTAAACTCAGAGCAGGCATATCTGCATAAGATCCTGAGAAGGAAATGTAGAAGGAATTGTGGCATGGTCATACCCTCAGGGGGTGATTTCTTGCTTTCTGTCTCTGTCTCTCCACCAAGCGCACATACCCTATAGCAAAAATCTCTCTCTCAAAAAAAAAGGACTAAAAGTTACCAGATTTACCCCGTATATTAAGGCAAAACTTTAT